AATTGAAAACACAAGTTCTGGGGGCACCTGGGTGGCTTAGTTGGTTAAGCGTCTGACTCTTGATTTTGGCTCAGGTCATGATCTTATGGTTTGCAGGTTCGAGCTCTGTGTCGGACTCTGCACTGACAGCCTAGAACGTGCTTGAGATTCTGTCTCCCTCTCTCTCTGTCCCTCCCTGCTCTTGCCGCCTCTCTATCTCAAAATAAATAAACATTAAAAATTTTTTAAAATGCAAGTTCTGAAAACAAGTTCTATAATGAAAATCAAACATGATAAGTGGATAGAGAGTGATGGGGTGGAGACGGAGGCTATTTTTTAAAGGACGGGCAGGGAGAGCTTCTCTAAGGTGATGGCATCTGAGCAGAGACCTGGATGATTGTAAAGAAGCCATGTGCAGTGTGTGCACCAGGAACAGTAAACAATAAATGGAAAGTCCTGGATGCACGAACAGGTTTGACTAATCAATAGCGAAGAAGGCAGGGAGGCAGCAGATGCCTAGTGAGAAACAGGGAGAGCAGAGATGAACTCAGTGAGGCAAGCAGGGCTCAGGCTCCATGTTTCATGACGAGAACCTGGATTCTATCCTAACACTAATGCAAACTCATTGGACCGGTTTTTTTTTATTTATCTTTTTTTATGTCTTTATTTTATTTTGAGAGACAGAGAGCGAGCAGAGGAGGGGCAAAGAGAGAGGGAGACACAGGATCTGAAGCAGGCTCCAGGCTCTCAGATGTTAGCACAGAGCCTAACACGGGGTTCGAACCCATGGACTGTGAGATCATGACCTGAGTCGAAGTCAGACGCTTAACCAACGGAGCCACCCAGACGCCCCTGGACAGTTTTGAGCTGGGGATGACACATTCTCCTATGCATTTTTAAAAGATCACTCTGACCCAGCAAAAAAAGAGAACTACAGGCCTATATCCTTGATGAATACGGATGCAAAAATCCTCAACAAGATACTTGCAAATCGAATTCAACAGCACATAAAAAGAATTATCCACCATGATCAAGTGGGATTCATTCCTGGGTTACAGAGCTGGTTCAATATTCGCAAATCAATCAACGTGATACATCACATTAGCAAAAGAAAAGATAAAAACCATATGATCCTGTTGATAGATGCAGAAAAAGCATTTAACAAGATACAGCATCCCTTTTTAATAAAGACCCTTGAGAACGTTGGGATAGAAGGAACTTACTTAAACATCATAAAAGCCATCTATGAGAAGCCCTCAGCTAACATCATCCTCAACGGGGAAAAACTGAGAGCTTTCCCCCTGAGATCAGGAACACGACAGGGATGTCCACTCTCACCACTGTTGTTTAACATAGTGCTGGAAGTCCTAGCATCAGCCATCAGACACCAAAAGGAAATCACAGACATCAGAATTGGCAAAGAAGAAGTCAAACTTTCACTTTTTGCTGACGACATGATACTCTACATGGAAAACCCAACAGACTCCACCAGAAGCCTACTAGAACTGGTCCATGAACTCAGCAAAGTTGCTGGGTACAAAAATCAACGTACAGAAATCGGTTGCATCTTTATACACCAATAATGAAGCACCAGAAAGAGAAATCAAGAAGCTGATCACATTCACAATCGCACAAAAAAACATAAAATACCTAGGAATAAACCTAACCAAAGATATAGGAGATCTGTATGATGAAAACTATAAAAAACTTATGAAGGAAATTGAAGAAGACACAAAGAAATGGAAAAACATTCCATGCTCGTGGGTCAGAAGAATAAATATTGTTAAAATATCATACTACCCAAAGCAATCTACACATTCAATGCAATCCCAATCAAAATTGCACCAGCATTCTTCTCAAAACTAGAACAAACTATCCAAAAATTTGTATGGAACCACAAAAGACCCCGAATAGCCAAAGTAATATGAAGACATCACCATCCCAGACTTTAGCCTCTACCACAAAGCTGTAATCATCAAGACATATGGTATTGGCACAGAAACAGACATATAAACCAATAGAATAGAATAGAGAACTCAGAATTGGACCCACAAATGTACAGCCAACTAATCTTTGACAAAGAAGGAAAGAGTATCCAATGGAAGAAAGACAGCCTCTTTAACAGATGGTGCTGGGAGAAATGGACAACAACATGCAGAAGAATGAAACTAGATCATTTTCTCACACCATATACCAAAATAAAATCAAAATGGATCAAGGACCTGAATGTGAGACAGGAAACCATCAAAACCCTAGAGAAGAAAGCAGGAAGAAACCTCTTTGACCTCCACCACAGCAATTTCTTACTTGACACATCCCCTAAGGCAAGGGAATCAAGAGCAAAAATGAACTACCTGGACCTCATCAAGATAAAAAGCTTCTGCACGGCAAAGGAAACAATCCATAAAATAGGCAACTGATAAGAATGGGAAAAGATAGTTGCAAATGACATATCAGATAAAGGGCTAGTATCCAAAATCTAAAAGGAACTCATGAAATTCCACACCTGAAAGACAAATAATCCAATGAAGAAATGGGCAGAAGACATGAACAGACACTTCTCCAAAAAGAACATCCAGACGGCCAAGAGACACATGAAATGATGCTCAGCAACCCTCATCAACAGGGAAATACAAATCAAAACCACACTGAGATACCACCTTGCGCCAATCAGAGTGGCTAAAATGAACAAATCAGGAGATGTTGGCGAGGATGTGGAGAAACGGGCACCCTCCTACACTGTTGGTGGGAATGTAAACTGGTGCAGCCCCTCTGGAAAACAGTGTGGAGGTTCCTCAAAAAATTAACAATAGAACTCCCCTATGATCCAGCAATAGCACTGCTAGGAATTTACCCAAGGGATACAGGAGTGCTGATGCATAGGAGCACATGTACCCCAATGTTCATAACAGCACTCTCAACAATAGCCAAAACATGGAAAGAACCTAATTGTCCATCAACGGACAAATGGATCAAGAAGATGTGGTATATTTCACAATGGAATACCACATGGCAATGAGAAAGAATGAAATCTGGCCATGTGTAGCAACATGGATGGAACTCAAGGGTGTTATGCTGAGCAAAATAAGTCAGGCAGAGAAGGACAGATACCATATGTTTGCACATATAGGTGGATTAGAAGGAAGCTAACGGAGGACCATGGGGGAGAAGTAGGGGGGAAAATAATTGGGGAGACAGAGGGAGGCAAACCATGAGAGACTCTTGAATGCTGAGAACAAACTGAGGGCTGATGGGGGTGGGGAAGAGGGGAAGGGGGGTGATGGGCATGGAGGAGGGCATTTGTTGGGATGAACACTGGGTGTTATATGTAAACCATCTTGACAATAAATTATTTTAAAAAAAGATCACTCTGAATTCTGAGTAATCTTTTTATAGTTATGGTTTTCACCATAACCTGGGGGTGGGGTGGGGGATGAGAGACTGACAGGCACCCGTGAAAGCAGAAAGACCAGTAAGAAAGCTACTATAGGAGTCCAAGCAAGAGGTTACTGGCTTGGATAAGATCACTTTGCGGTGAAGGTGAAGGTGGAGAGAAGTGGTTGGACTCCAAATATATGTTAGAAACAAAAGTGGAAGTTGGTGGGGAGGTGTGGAATCTTTTTTGCCTGAGCAACAGGTGAACAGGAATGCCAATAATCAAGACAGAGAAGCCTGAGTGAAAAATGGCTTTGGGGGTGAGAGAAGAGTTGAAAAATCAAAATCCTTTTGGACTTGCCAAATGGGTGTGCAACAGGATGCTTAAGAGATGAGTGGATATATGAGCGTATTGCTCAGGGGAAAGTGTGGGACTGGGATGCATATTTGGAAATCCTTAGCATACAGGCAATATTTCTAGCCATGAGACTAGTATGGGCACAGGGGGTAGAAAATGAAGAAAAAGGAAGAGAAATAGGCAGACAGGGCATCCGTAAAAGTGGATGGAGCCAGCAAAGAGGACTGAGAAGGAGGATCCAGAGAGGCAGGCAGACCCAAAAGCCCAGAGAAATGGTATTTCAAGAAGACAGGGATGTCAAATGCCAAGGAGGGGGGATAAAAATTAAATTTAAAAAAATTGGGCAGTGGATTTTGCAAGATGGAGACACTTTTAGTAAAGCAGTGCGGACAGGACAACTTCCTCCAGATTGGAACCCGTTAAAGGGAGGGATCAGAAGGACATGGAGCATATACAACAGACACTTCTTTCAAGGAGTTTTACGGTAATAGGGATGCTGAAAGAAAAAGCTGGGGTGGGGAGGATATGGGATCAAAGGAAGTGAGTTTCTTAGTTTCTTTGGTTTTCATTTAAAAATGGAGATCCTACAACATGCTCGTGCAGTGTTGGGACAACTTCTCTACTGGGGATGATGACTGAGCAGGAAGGGATAGGGCCCAATGCACCTGTTGAGGGAGGGGTCACCTGAGGAGTGGGGACCGTGGAGAAGACAGAACACACGGTAGCAATGGGAGACTTGGGAGAAGCAAGTCCTCCCTGATGACTTCTAATTGCTCGGTGAAGTAAGAAACAAGAAGCTAATACTCTGAATCTTAGCTCAAATCTCCAGATTTGAAGAGACAAGAAAATGAGAGGAAAGTGAATTTTCCAGGGGACCAGAATGGGACTGCCAATCATTTCTCCCTGGGAAGGACTGATTCTTGAGGCACTTGTGACAAAATGACAATTAATACACCGAGAAGCAGTACTAATGAGAGAAAATTCTTTTTAGGTATGAAATATTTGAACTATTTCAAATACCCAGCCTGCTGGATATGTAACCAGAGTTCATAGACACACCAGCCAGATTTTATTTGCATTAATGTTTTGTTTCAGCTGCCTTTTTAAGAAATAAAACGTTACAGTCACAGTTACAGTAGTCCCTCTCCTGTTCCATCCACACCCTTCTTCCTCTCGCTCTTCAAGTTCATTCTATAATGATAGGAAGCAATGGTGTTTCTCTTTATCTGGGCCCATCTATGGCTCTGTGGTGACTTTGTTCATCCAAATGCTGTAATTCAAGATTTACCTGTTATCTGGGTTGTCAGGGAGAGGACCACAGGAAGTTCAGAAGACAAAGCCTGTATGCGGACACTGTAGTTGGTGCCCGGATGCAGGTCCAAGCACATCTCGGGAGCCTGGCTGCTGGTGGTGATGTTGAAGATCAGTTCCTGGGCAAATTCCTTCTGATACCATCTCTGGCCCTGAATGTGGAACTGAAACACAGAAAAGTTCACTAGGTGAATGGCTGGCCTGGAAGGCTCCGAATGCCTGGATACACACCCTTTCTCATGAGCAATCTTGCTCTTAAAACTAAAGTTCCTTCGAAAAGTGATATATAACAGTAAGCAGATATTGGAGTCATAATACCATAAATACTGTTGTCACGATACATCAGTACAATAAAAAAAAGCTTTCAATCAAAATGTACAGAGGCTGAGGCCCCAGTACTAATCATTTTCTTGGTCTTGTTCTCACACACACACATGCACAGTGCAAAAGTCTGTTGGCAAAACTGCAGGAGCAAAGCCACAGAACATCTCTCTAGAAAGAAAATGAAGGGGCACTTGAGTGGCTCAGTCGGTTAGGCGTCTGACTTCGGCTCAGGTCATGATCTCACGGTTCGTGAGTTTGAGCCCCGCATCAGGCTCTGCGCTGACACCTCAGAGCCTGGAGCCTGCTTCGGATTCTGTCTCCCTCTCTCTCTGCTCCTCCCCTGCTCACTCTCTCTCTCTCTCAAAAATAAATAAACATTTTTTTAAAAAAAGTTAAAAAAGGCAGGAAGGCAGGCAGGAAGTAAGGAAATGAAGAATCTGCACTAAGGCTTCTCCAGAGCAGGACCTAAATTAGGGAACTCCTAGCTGGTCTGGTAAAAACTTCGGCAGGATTCTTTTCTGCCTGCCCCCTTCTGACATTGCCTCCATTTCCCTGGAACATCCCAGCACCAGGGCCAAGTCACATACCTTTCTGCCCACTTAAATTTTTCTAGTAGCAGCTCATCCCACGGCCTTTACCTTTCTTACTCACAACCACATCTAACTTCAAAAATTCCCCTTGACTCCCTCGACAACATGTTCATACCCTGATCAGAGACACATGCAAAAGCCATGGATTCCTTTCACAGATCCTGTGTGAACATCAGCTCTGCATGGGGCTAGGTGCACAAAGAAACTCTCATGGCTTACTCATCAATCCCCAAGGTCTCTCTCTTCAAATATGCACTACAAGTGCCCATTTTCTTGCTTGTTCTCACAAATGTCACTATCAACCTGCCATTGATAATAACAGCTGTATAAGTAGATTTTTATGTTTGCTGATATTTTTTAAGCCTCCCACAGAAGACAACATCTACACATAAAGTGACTTACTGAATACATCTCCTCTATATCAGCTGTCTTTGTACTTCTCCATCTCAAGCAGGTTTCATTAAATATTGAAAGGTTACCGATGATCTGTTTTACTGCAGGGGGGAAAGAATGAGAAATCAACTTACACTCTATACAAAAATACTACCATTATAGAGCATGTGGCTCTTGACCTCAGGGTTGTGAGTTTGACCCCCTCCCCCCGCCCCTGTGGGTGTAGAGATTACTTAAAAAATAAAATCTTTAAAAAAGAATGCTACTTTGTAATCGAATCATTTACACAGGATGATTTCAGCAGTATTTTAATTTAGAAATTAGTGGTCAGGGGCACCTAGGTGGTTCAGTCTGTTAAGTGTCCCAACTTTGGCTCAGGTCATGATCTCACAGTTCGTGAGTTCAAGCCCCACATTGGGCTCTGTGCTGACAGCTCAGAGTCTGGAGCCTGCTTCAGATTGTGTCTCCCTCTCTCTGCCCCTTCCCTGCTCATGCTCTGTCTCTCAAAAATAAATAAATATTAAAAAATATTTTTAAAAAAATCAGTAGTAGCAGTCCAAGAAACACCACTTTTATATTTATGTAAACTCAATCTTGATGAAAGAGTTAAAATCAAAAGATACCTAATCAGAGGCTCCCTCTCAAAAATTTCTTAAATCCAGTCACTGCAACTCTCCCGGTTTACTAACCTAAAATTGCAACTCTGACCTTGGACAACCTCATTTATACAAATAAGTATCAATTTCAAATTCTGAGCAGGGAGCAACACTTGAGCAGAGCATTGTGAAGTGCTCTTTGAGGAACTGAAAAAAAATTTGCTAAGAAGTTTCATAGCAGCACTGCCATGATTAATAAATCATAAAGACAACTCCCAAAGCACCTGAAAAAAGAAAAGTCTCATGGGAACCAAGCCTTTATTGTGCAAGCCCCTGGCTGGACAGGTTCCTATGAATGAAGCCACATTGGTAGATGTGACCCTTCTTTATGGACTGGGCAGCTTTGCCCAGAGAGAACCTGTTCCACAAGTCACAAGCTGTACTTCAAATGTTGTAAGACAGAGTAGGTAAAAAAGTATACATGTTTCAGAATAATGGAATTTCACTCTTGGGTACAGAAGGTTTTAAAGATAACTAGTAGTGGTCCAACGAACCTTACGTTTATGAAACTTTCAAAAACCGATAACCTCAATACTATTTAAGTTGCAGACCATGCAAAAAGGTGGAAAGCTTCCCAATTTACTCAAGATGACTGGATAATTCACAATTCCCAAACTGTGCAAGGATTGTGATAATCCACAATTCCCAAATTGTGCAAGCAATTACAAAACACACTATGCCAAACTCACTTATTATTATAAATGCAAAAACCTAAAATAAAATATTAGTAAATAGAAGGCAGCAGGACATTCGAAGTACACTATGATCAAGGAAGATTCATTCCAGGAATACAGAGGTGATCATTATTGGGAAAGTATTTATAGATTAAAAGGGAAAAGCCATACGGTTATTTCTATACACGTAATGGCTAACATATTTAATACATGTTCCTGACTAAAAATCTTTGATAGAAACTCCTTAATTTAAAAAAGTGTTTATTAGGGCGCCTGGGTGGCGCAGTTGGTTAAGCACCCTACTTCAGCTCAGGCCATGATCTCACAGTTAGTGGGTTCAAGCCCTGCGTCAGGCTCTGTGCTGACAGCCAGCTCAGAGCCTGGAGCCTGCTTCAGATTCTGTGTCTCCCTCTCTCTCTGGTCCTCCCCTGCTCATGCTGTCTCTCTCTCTCTCTCTCTCTCAGAAATAAATAAAACATTTAAAAAATTTTAAAAGAGTTTATTAGAAACCACCATCCATGCTGGTAAAACAATGAAGCAATTTCTAGTAAAGTTAAGAACAATACAAGGATGCATGTTCTCATAGCTATTATTTAGCATTAGCTAGGCAATTCTAGACGATGTGGAAAGAGGCAAGAACAAAATGAGCTATAAATACCAGGAAGAAAGGGAATAATGCAACTTCCAGTAAATCTAAGAGAATCAACTGAAAACAAATATGAAATCACTTGAAAAAAAAGAGAAAAACAAATACAAATCAAAGGAGTTTGGCAAAATGTACCCAAATACAAGAGCACAGAAAAACTAGTCATTTCCGTTAGATCTCTAAGAACAAGTATGGTAGGCTGAAAACGGGTCCCCCAAAATGTCCACATCCACCTGTGACCATGTTACGTTACGTGGAAGAGGAACTCTGCAATCTGATTAAGATAGGGAGATTATCCAGATGAGACCAAGGTAGTGACCATGGTCCTCATAAGAGAGAGACAAAAAATCAGGGTTAGAGAGAGATTCAAGGACAAAAGCAAAAACCAATGAGCTTCAAAGATGGAGTATGGGGCCCCAAGCTAAGGAATGTAAGTAAGATCTAGAAACTGGAAAGGACAAGGAAATGGCTTCTCTCCTCCAGCTTCCAGAATGAAGCAGTAATTTGTCAAACTAGCAATAGGAAACCAAGACAATAAATTACAACAAAAAGGCACAGTGCCCAGCCACTGGTTTCAGAGCTGCCTCTACACATCAGTCCCAGCTGCTGATGCATACTGTGCCCAGCCTCACGCCCCCAGCAACACCAGCACACAGCCCCCAGCCACCACAGCGCTTCAGGAAATCCAGTATAGCACTAGCAACCCAGCACATACTTTGCTTACACCACCACTTGCTCTCAAGTTCCCCAGCAGGCATGCCCACCTGCCTGCAGCCCACTAAGGAGAGCAAGCACAGCCCACCTAGACAGAGAATCAGTGCACACAACTGCATCGAATGACTCAGACACTATCACAGACTCCACACATAGCAGCACATATAGGATACTCTCCTGTAATGTCAGTTTCTGGTGAACAGGGGGCACTGCCCTGCAGGGCACTCCACGATCTCTTCTTCACTCCTTTCAAGATCAGAAGACATAGCTGACTTTCTTAACATACAGAAACAGCCCAGAGAGGCAGACAAAATGAAGAAATAGAGAAATTTATCCCAAATGAAAGAAGAGGAAAGGACAAGGCCATGGCCAGAGATCCAAATGAAACAGATGTAAGTAAAATGCCTGATAGAGAATTGAAGGCAATGATCCTAAGGATAATCACTGGACTTGAGAAAAGAGTGGAGGACATGAGTGAGACCCTGAGCACAAATATAAGGAATAACAGCAGAGATAAAAGGCTCAATAAATGAAAAAAGAAACACACTTGATGGAATGAACAGCAGAATGGAAGGAGCAGAAGAATGAATGCTAGTGACCTAGAAGACAGGATACTAGGAAGTAATCAAGCTGAACAAAAGAGAGAGAAAAAAAATTAAGCAAAACGAGAATAGACTTAAGGAACTCAGTGACTCCATCATATGTGATGATATTCATATTATAGGAGTCCCAGAAGAACAAGAGAGAGAAAAGGAGGGAGAGGATTTATATGAAGAAGTAGTAACTGAAAAATTTCCTAATCTGGGGAAAGAAACAGATATCCAGACTCAGAAGTCATAGAGAACTCAAATCAAAATCAACAAAAGCAGACCCACATCAGGACATATTGTAATTAAATGGCAAAATATAGTGGTAAAGAAAAAAATTTTAAAGCAACAAGAAAAAAGAAGATAGTTACTTACAAGGGAAAATTCATATGGCTTAGAGGGGATTTTTCAACAGAAACTTTGCAAGCCAGAAGGGAATGACATGATATATTCAAAGTGCTAAATGGGAAAAATCTGCCGCAAAGGATACTCTATCCAGCAAGGTTATCATTCAGAATAGAAGGAGAGATAAAGAGTTTCCCAAACAAAAACTAAAGTTCAACTAAACCAGCCCTGCAAGAAATATTAAAGGGAACTCTTTGAGTGGAAAGAAGATACCTAAAATGACAGTATAAAGGAAGGAAACACAAAAGTAATAAAAATGAATATTTCTATGAAAAATCAGACAAGAAACTCACAAAATAAAAGACTATAAGGGGTACCTGGATGGCTCAGTCAGTTAAGTGTCTGACTTTGGCTCAGGTCATGATCTCACAGCCAGTGAGTTCTAGCTCCGTGAGTTCTAGCCCCACATCGGGCTCTGTGCTGACAGCTCAAAGCCTGGAGCCAGCTTTAGGTTCTGTGTCTCCATCTCTCTCTGTTCCTCCCTTGCTCACATTCTATCTCCCTCTCTCTCAAAAATAAATAAATATTAAATATATACATATATTTATATCACATACATATATATAAAATATAATAACATATCTAAAACCAGCAAAAAACAAAACCAGCAAACCATAAGAGAAAGAGATAAATAAGAAAAAATATCAGAAACAACAACAAAGCAAGTAATGAAATGGCAAAAAATACACATCTATCAATAATTAATTGGGGCACCTGGGTGGCTCAGTTGGTTAAGTGTCCAACTTCGGCTCAGGTCATGATCTCACACTTCGTGGGTTTGAGCCCCATGTTGGGCTCTGTGCTGACAGCCAGCTCAGAGCCTGGAGCCTGTTTCAGATTCTGTATCTCCCTCTCTGTATGACCCTCCCCTGTTCACACACTCTCTCTCTCTCTCAGAAATAAATAAAAAAACATTTAAAAAATTTTTTAAATAATAATTACGTTGAATGTAAATGGACTAAACAAACAATCAAAAGACACAAGGTGACAAAATGAATAAAAAAAAAACAAGACCCATCTATATGCTGCCTACCAGAGACTCATTTCAGACCTAAAGACACCTGTAGATTGACAGTGAGGGGATGGAAAAACATCTATCATGCAAATGGATGTCAAAAGAAAGCTGAAGTAGCAATATTTAGATCGGACAACATAAACTTTAAAACAAAGACTGTAGGGGCGCCTGGGTGGCTCAGACGGTTAAGCATCCAACTCTGATCTTGGCTCAGGTCATGATTTCAGCTCAGGTCATGATCTCACAGTCTGTGGATTCAAGCCCCACATTGGACTCTGTGTTAGCAACACAGAGCCTGCTTGAGATTCTGTCTCTCCCTCTCTCTGCCCCTCCCCTGCTTGTGCACTTGCGTGTGTGCACTCTCTCTCTCTCAAAATAAATAAATAAACTTAAAAAAAAAAGAC